TATTTTTATTTTTCATTGCGTATATTATTTATATGTTCAAATCATATTTACAAATCTAAATTTAAAAAGGAAATTGTTTTCTTGCCAAATTTTGGATTTTTCCTTCAAAGGTTGAGCCGCAGGACCTTTAAAATATTTTTTTGAAAATCTCTTAAGAAAGCACAGAATAAATTAAAACATCGATAATCCCCAAGAAACGGAAAAATGATTTTACTTGGAAAAGAAATTCGAAGACTGGAATATTAATTTCATATAACCTCGAGCAATGGAATAATTAATTAAACAAAATTGATTGTGTGGATGATTTCGGATAAAAAAGTGCTGCACCAATGGAGATGGCTAAGAACGACACGATATCTGTTTAATCATTATAGAATTTGTTACTACAGTTAGTCTTTGTGTAAGGATGTATGGAACGAATTACAAAACTACACTGTGTATATTTCTCGAAAAAGAGAAAGACAATGTGTGCGGCTGCGTGATGCTTTTTCTGTGCATCAATGCAATAAAACGATTTCCTTCTATTTAAAAAAAAAAAACTGTAAATATTTTGTTCATATTTTTCGAAATTTAACTGAGAAGACGTCACCGAAAAACTGGAACAGTGAAAGAAGCCTTTAAAATTTGAACAAAATATGAAAAAATAGGAATAATCGTCAGAAAGGAAAGAGTAATGAAGTGGTATGTAATATTATTTCTCATATAAAGTAGTAAATGCTGGACAATTTCCTCACAGATGAAGAGGAATCTTGGGGCCAAAGAAATGTGTTTCCATAAAAGAATACTTAGAGTTCTATGGACGGCTGTCAGGTTTAAGGAAAACTGAAACAAAAAGGAGACATTTTTGGTAGAGTTTATAAGCAAATAACACTTGGAAAAATATTATTATTGGCGTTAAATGAGGAGACTTGAGAAAACAAGTGATTCTACATTGATTGATGAGATTGTTTTTTACGGTTTATCTACTTTTTTTAGGTCATTTAACAGCCATAAAAATATTTTTGGATTGTAAGAAGTTTTTGAAATAATAATAATCTACTGATACAAGTCCGACTAATTAACGTACAATTGGGCAGAGAAGAGATGAATTCACACCACCCCCAAGGATATTTAGGTGGAAGCGAAAGTAACTGTTGTGGCCTCTTTAGGGGCCAGAAAGAAAGACACGGAAAACGAAGGTAGAGATTGAAAATGTATATTGAAGACAAAACAATAGTGTTAGTAATAAGTAGATTAGTACTGCGTCTACAACTATCCACTCCACTTCACTTCACTTCACTTCACTTCACTTCACTCCAATTCACTTCACTTCACTCTACCCGACTCTCGCAGTTTGTATTTATGAGAGGAGGAAGAGTTCATTCTACTGTAGGAAGGTTTACCACAACAGTAACAAAGTCGAGTGGAATTGGAACACGGCTCTCCAATTTCCAATTCAGAGACGTTATCCAATACAGTGTGCTTCTACAGAAGGATGTCAATCTGCTATGGACGCTAAACTATTGTAGGTACTGCTGAGTTACGACCCCTTTTTTATAACTAAAAATAAGTGGGTTAATAAATTAAGTAATAATAAAATGAAAAATATAACCTCGAGTGTAACACTAAAGAAAATTTCTTTTTTTTTTTAAATACGAGATGAAGTAGCCGCTTGAAAGCGAACTATATTGCATGAAATTAAATATGTTTGAAAGATATAAATAATCATTTATATTGTAATATTTTCAAGACTTATATCACTTTTACACTTTTGATGCTCCTCTACGTTTTAAACAGCAGAATTTTGCGGCATAGCAGCACAAGTCGTTTATGGTTAATCAATGCTTGTATCATCTTCATCGCCTTTTATGAATTGTCTTAAATCATGCTCTCAGTAAATGTCAGAATATGATAACATAGAACTAGAAAAACTACGACCACGTACGCCAGAAGCATATATACATTATTCTTTAGGGTACCTCGGCGTGGTGTAATGGTTAACAAGCTTGTCTCGCTAGATCAGTTACTACGTGCCCCATACCTTCGGCCTTGTACTATATCTAAGGTACTCTTAGGAAATAACTATATACATTATTTCTTCATAGACTCTATCATTTATAAATGGAATTAAGACAGTTTATTTAGCCACCCACCACGAGCGTTGCAGGTGACACAAGGCCGGGCTTAACGTGGATTCTACGACCCCGTAGGCTCGGCCAAAAATATTCCCTTTCGAACGCGTATAAACGGGTTCAGGGGCAGTCTACCTCCCCGAACGAGACTCTGCCCTTCGGCGAAGACTCGTCCGGGTTCCTCTCTACCCGAAGGCAGTGTGTTCGACTGTTTAGCCTAAAAAAATTTCGGCTAGTCTCAAGAATTAAGACTTAGTGGCTTTATTGACTTTTTAGAATAATTAGTGACCGTAAGCATAGCTATCGCCACTTGTGAGAATAAAGTGAACTAAATTTTGTTACCTAGCGAAAAATTATAAATTTTATCATTTTTAGAACTAAATTATTTAAAGGACGTCTCCATTTACGATATCATATTTCGGAAATATCTCAACAGCTTCTACGCGTCCTGGGTATGACGATAAACTACATCCGCGTCCTGGGTATGACGATAAACTACATCGGCGTCCTGGGTATGACGACGAACTACGTCCAACAGCGGGGGGTCTCTAATCGGGAGGTTTTGGGGAGCGTGGAGCCGCCTCTTGGTTGCTGCTGTTCCCGGGTCTGCCCTGATCCGGAGTGGTGGCGCCTGTTGGGGTCCCAGCTGTGGACAAGTGGTTGACCCCGGAACTGAAGTAAAAAGTATTATAAAAGTGTAAAAATGGGTTTTAATGCCAGAAATGGTATTTAAAAAGCTGTTGCCAAAAATAGGTTTTTGAAGAAAAAAAAGCTATTACCAGCAATATATTTTTAGAAAAAAAAAACTGTTGCCGGCGCTGTATTTTTAAAAAGAAAATATTGCCAGCAATATATTTTTGAAAAAATATTGCCAGCAATGAATTTTTTAAAAAAAAATATTGCCAGCAATACGTTTTTGAAAAGAAAAAAAAGAAATTACCAGCAATATATGTTTTGAAATAATATACATTTTTGAGGAAAAAATATTACCAGAAATAGATTTTTGACAAAACAAAATATTACCAGAGAAAAAATTTTGTCGGCTTTAAATGACCCATTGAGGTTGATATACCGTAAAATACAACAAACCAAACCTCAACAGCTTCTACAGGAATTATATTTTTTGTTAGTATCTATAACGAAACACTACATCACTGAAACTGTGTCACAAAAAATAGGAAATTCTTATCTTATTTTACGTGTCTTGTCCCTTCAGGAATATAGACAACCACGTCTTTCCTTTCTTTTGTATCCCTTAGCCATGTTTGTCCTATCACTAATCCCCTCATTCCCTGTCCTGCCATTCATTTGAACAAGCTTGTTAAGTTAGTAAGTCATTGTTTTAATTAGTATGCCCTGTCAGTGCCACGTTCTCGAGGCACTCATTACACATTATGTATCCCAGAATATATCGCCTCTTTCTGATTATAAAACAAATGTCTTTTCTGTTCCCGTTTTTCTTGGTTGCTTACAGAGCCCAACTATAGTATTCTCAATTTCCTTCTATAGAACCATATCTCTGTTGCCTCAATTCTCTCTAAGTGATTCATTGTGATTTTCGGACTAACATTTTTAGTGGAAAGATTATCTGCCTATATTTCTCAAGGATACATCGCACAGTGGATAAATGTGTTAGTTAGATCCAGTGACAGGACCCAAAGGGTGTCAGTTCAATACCCGGTTAAGGCAGTGGAGAACTTTCAGGGGGAAATTAACAGGAGATAACTGATAACTGGCATCCATTAGACATGGTACATGGAACTAGAACAGTGAGTGAAATAAAGGGTTCATTTCGACATTCCAACCACCTGAAGAAGGCCGGAGCGTACAACGGCCGGAACGTTGTAATAGATATGACGGCAAAGATGAGGACAATCATCCGAATAATGTAAATAGTGTACATAATACCTCATCTCAGAAATATAGACAGATACTGAAAGGCCGAAACGTTGTAATAAATATGGCAACAAAGATGAGGACAATAGTCCAAATAATGTAAATAGTGTACATGATACTTCATCTTAGAAATATAGACAGATACCAAAAGGCCGAAACGTTGTAATAAATATGGCGACAAAGATGAGGACAATATTGTAAATAATGGAAAGATTATATTGAATCAGTTCCTAGGTCCTCTTCTAAGAAAGTTGCGTAGCTCACTATATCAACCTAGACGGCCTTCCTCTCCAGAATCTATCTTACATATTCATAAGTTAATGATTTGCCCATGCTTTGAATATTTCTGCCACATATGGTTCGGTGCTTCTGCTATATATTTAGAGATTCTTGATGAAAGAATCAGCAATATTGGTCTTGATATGGCATATCGACTTCAGTCACTTTCCTACCGGCGTACTGTAACTCCCATTTCTATAAATACTTTCATGGCAATTGCTCAGATGACCTATCCGCTATGGTACATAGATTTTATGAATTTAAGCGCAGTGATATATTGGCAGTAAGGACTTATCAATTTACAATGTCAAGTTCTATGCTAACAGTTTCCTCTCTCGCACTTCTCACTTCTCACTTGTACAACTCTCTTCCAGCTCTATGCTTTCCAGCCAACCTTCATCTTCTAAAATCAAAATGCAATGTCAATTGTTATCTAGTGTGTTCTTCATTACTTCTTCTTGCCTCTTTAATAATGTTTCTCTTCTCTTTTTTTTATTCTTAGACAGTCAGTAACCTCTTGTGACTTAGTGGCTTTCAGCATTGCTTGGGATGAAATGATTAAAAAGATTGTGGGAAAATTGTCTAGCATTAACTACCATAAAAGAGGGTTCATATTATATAAGAGTTCACACTCATTTATATGGTTATAATGAAATGAAAGTGGCAAGAAAAATATACGTACAATGCTTTGAACGCGAAAACCAGATATTTTACCTTTGACTTGAACTAGGTTTGACAAGAGATAGATAGATAGATAGATAGATAGATAGATAGATAGATATGAACAGCCATAGATAGATGGAGAGATATGAACGGACATCGATAGAAAGATATGAATACACATAGATAGATAGATAGATAGATAGATAGATAGATAGATAGATAGATATAAAGTGCCTTGGATAGATAGATAGATAGATAGATAGATAGATAGATAGATAGATAGATAGATAGATATGAACAGCCATAGATAGATGGAGAGATAAAAAATATGAACGGGCATAGATGGATAGATATGAACACACATAGATAGATATATAGTGAACAGAGATAGATAGATAGATAGATAGATAGATAGATAGATAGATAGAGAGAGAGAGAGACAGAGACAGAGACAGAGACAGAGAGTATGAGAGAAGTGAAAAGTAAAAACTGCTGCTGCTGTTTTACGAAATGTAGCAGATGAAACCCATATTCTTGAAATAGAAGTCGCCATATAAAAATTTTCTGTGAAATGGAAATAAATTTCTGATGAAATTTAAGGCGTAGTTAGTTAAAAAAAATGGAGGTTTTTTCTTTGAGCAATGATTTTCTATAGCTGTCTTTTAACAGCATTCATGTCAAAAGTAATCATTTAATTTCTGTTCAATATACGGTCTTTTTTTATCAATTGCCAGATTTGTTTTGTTTTTTATTCTTTCTTTATGTGCTTTACTTTAAAATTTAACACTTTTTTTTAGTAAACTGTCTGTTTATGAAGTTTAAATGAATATTGATCTTCATCAAAAGAATATTACGGAAAAAACGCTTTCATATTGTGTGAGTCTCACCAGAAGAATATCAAAATCCATATCGTCTGGAAAGGCAGAAGACGCTAAGAAAAGTGAAACTCGTGCAAATAATTTGGGAACCGCAGAGGGAAGAAAAAATGACGAGAGAAACCGTTAATGGCAAACGAAAACGAATTTCTCATTTCCGCCAATCGCATGAAGAAAAAAAATAATGTCGCCAGACCATGAAACGAAGTTAATTTTGAAAGTGGCAGACAATCGTGGGCTGGTTTTATGGCATTGTTCTGAAACCAAAAGAAAATGTCGACAACGAACAGAAGAAATTAGGTAACACTACGGAAAATGGGTAATTTGTTCGTTATCTACAATTTGCGAAATGATGACGGTTACTTTGGGAGTAATTAGAAGTGCGGATGTAGACACAGTTATATCGATCGATTATTCTAGATTCGATGGCATGTAGCAATCTTTCTGAAAACCACATACATTTCAGAAAATTGTTTGTCACTGTGAATTTCTAATGCTCAGGTAGCCAATCCGAAGACTGACTAAACTCTATCTATCTATCTATCTATCTATCTATCTATCTATCTATCTACCTATCTATCTAAGGTCAAACGTTATTTTTGGTGGACACCCTTGATTGGAATAGAGGCCTCTTTTAAACACTGTGTATTATCTCTACCGGCAGGAATGAAGAAATTATATCCAAGCGCACAGGCCGGTAGATGCAATACGCCCTGTTGAAAATTTTTCAAACAAGTTTATCTACTAAAGTAACGTTTGAAGTAATAGAAAGTTCAATTAATATATATATATATATATATATATATATATATATATATATATATATATATATAAGAGGTTATAGTAGTTCCAACGAGAGAACAGTGTATATATTAAAAAAAGAGAGAAACCGCAAATCTTTTTGGTTGTAATATGGATTTAAAAAAAAAATGTTATGTTTTATTTTCCATAATTTTGCTACACGTGTTTCCGGTCCCGCAACCGTCATCAGGCAAAAGGTGGAGATTTCCACATATTATTAAAAATAATTAATTTTTTCTTATGTTTTTCGATGTTAAATATTCTCGATATGAGACATTCTATTTTTGTGTTAGTGATCCAAACGTCTTTCTTGAACTGGCAGTGAAAAGTTCTGCATCAAGGGTTATAAAACAATTAAGATTGGTTCGAGAAATGATGGAGTAGTTATCGGCATTCTTATCTTTTAATGACCCCTGTGTGTTCTTAGATCTATTCCCATTTTCGGGTGTTTTTGTCAGCATGCGTGTATATAAGTGTATATCCCCTCTCCATACATACACACTGTCTCACTACGAGGAATCAGTGAACACATCTGTACACCCACACACATATACAGACACTCATACACAAACACACACACACACCGTCCCATTACAAGGAATCAGTACATACACACACACACACATACGTGCATACGCATACTTTCCAAGTTACATGGAATCAGTATACACACACACACACACACATATATATATATATATATATATATATATATATATATATATATATATATATATATATATATGTACACACATACTTCCCAAGTTCTGTGGGGTTTGTGTGCATGCCTGTGAGTAGTTCTCCTGCTTTTGTCAAATATATATATATATATATATATATATACACACATTCGTGTCCCACAAATACCCGCATGTGAGCGTGCATGCATGGATTTGAGTGGTTTGATCACTGTATTCGGTCACTATGCGTGCATGTTGTGTGCTTTTGTGTGTAGTGTTATTTAGTTCTGATTTAAATTTGTTTATGAAGTTTTTTTTTCTTGTAGGTAAGAATAATTGTCTGTTTGATATATTGGCATAATTTAAAATTTTCCCTGGTTACATTTGAAGATGTGTTGTGATTCAAAAACGTTTTCTGTTGTCTGGTAATGTTATATTGTTTTTGTGTAGGGAGACCCTGTTGTTTAGTTGTTGACTGATACCTATATATGACGTACATAAATTACATTTTTGGAGTTGTAAGTTAAGTTCTTCTTTATTATGAATGTCGTTTTGGGGTTTTCAAAAGTATAAGAATTTCATTCTATAATAATATCACAAAACCCACATCTTTTTTCTTTTTTTTTTTACATTTTGTGACTCCCTGTATTTGCACTATCGTGACTGATAAACACCTGAAAAACCCGCCTAGAAGAACTACATAAAACTCTAAAAAAACGAGGCTACCCCACAAAACTAATAAATAAAGGTTTTGAACTCGCAAAAAAATTTAGAAATAAAAAGGAACGTAAAGTCGAACAAACTCTAGCATATGTCTCAACATACAACGAAAACAATCCAGAATTATTCACACAAATTACAAAAAATCTCGACCTACTTAGCAAGAATAATAAACTGAAAAATATACTGAAAACAACCAAAATAATTAAAAACAAACTCCAATCTAAAAACCTAAAATACATATTAACCTCATGCAAATTTAACCAACACACAATACAGGGAGACACAAAATGTAGACAGCTAAAGTTCCTAGTGAAAATAATACAGACTCAGCTAACACCGGCCATTATTATTTATTCGGAAAATCCTGATGCTGATCGTCTGTATGTGTCCAGATCCGAAGGAGGCAGAGGATTAGTTCAACTAGAATGATCTTACAAAGCTAAGCCCACAAAAAGAAACTTGGGAAATACTTACATATTATAGACAAGTGCAAATGTCAGGTTTGGCGAGCTCTGTGCGAACCGATTGAAATCAGATGCAGAGGCTTCACTGGGCAGCCACTGTGTAAGATTTTGCCAAAATTAGGTGTGTGACGTCACCCCGTGGCCTCTCTGCCCCACACTCCGTCTATCCTGCGACGACAAATGTGATTTGGTATTGGTCGTGGCACCAAACGTGACGTTCTAACCCTTTGCTGATTCGGATGGGAATCTGGTTAGATTCGATATCAGCCTCGTCATTCCCAACTCGCATCCAATGTCTGGTTAACAAAGTAACTGCGTTGATCTTCAGTCCGCCTACCCACGTTGTGAATTGATCTTAGGCAGACGAAATCAATCAGTCGTTGGGGCCGTAATGCAAATTGAATTCAAACGAGGGTGGTATCACACAAATATGTATAAAAGAAAAGAAAATGATAACTCAAAAGTTCAAGGTATCAAAAAAAGGATAACAATACTTTATATCTGGTTGTTGGATACATAGGACAGCGTCTATCTCCCGACCCGCTATATGGATTGTGACACGTTGTTTTTGTTAGGTGAGTTTTAACATCTTAAGTTGTCTGTTTTTTAAGAAATTGGTTCTTGGTGTGTCTCCAGGCGATAGTCGAAAAACTTATTTTGGTGGTATGGATCTAAGTCGCTCTTCAAAATAAATTGTTCTTGGATTGAAGATGAGTTCGGAAGTTGCGCGAATCTTTCAAGTCAGCTCTGCGAGGCCTGCTTCAACTGAGCACTCTGGATTGAACTCCTCTGAACTGAACTCAACTCAACTGAACTCAACTCACTGCGACTTTGCTTATATGGACGCCGACCAAAACCGGGGTGGGTTTGTCGAGGTTGGAGGTTCCTCGATAATTCTAAATCCATATCCACTTCTTTTATTTTTGGTTCGGAATTTTCAACTCCTTTCCATTTTTGGAAGTCTTCTCTTACTCTCACCTTCTCTTATTCTCACCATACTTCAGAGGGGCGTCAACGGTTCTCCCCACTTCTTCGTAGCAATTTCTCATACCTATCCTCTAAATGGGCGGCGGCGGCTTCCCTCCTTGCGTCACGTGATCACCTCCGCCCGGCCCTCGCCATCATTCGGCCAATAGCTCCCAGCCGAGTATGTGTGATCCGGCTGGCTTTGTTTTAGGAAGAAAAAAAATATATCTTGCTCAAAAAAAAAAAATTATCTTTTTCATTTCCTTTTCTTTCCTTAATCGCAGGTCTCATCCCCCAATGTCACCTGGGATCTATCAATGCCAATTCTCAAGTGGGGTAGTCGTCTAGCGAAAACACAGTCGACCGTCGTCACGAAAAAACAGTTCCATTGTTCTAGCCGTATCTGCATTCTTGGTGCCAATTTCTGATAACATAGTTTTGTTATCACAACCGAATTCTAACACCCATAGATGTTTTGTCAAAACGGCCAAGGCGGGACCCAGGGTTGGCTTCGTGTGCGGTTAGCAGACGACCTATTAAATCCTTTCCCGACAATATTGTTTGCCCCCTCTGACACAGTTAATTTTTCTTATCTATCCAAAGCTCTATATTCACCTGTTCTTTGTCAGACAGTTCTACGACACTGGTGGTCAGAATTTTCACTATCTTTTCCATTATCAAAATAACATTGTCAATTGTCTCGGAGCTAGCCGGTCTGTAGTTTGTTAATTAGATGTTCGCCAGCATTAAGTGGCTGTTATCTATCCCCGATAACACAAGTTCGCCACCAGGACATAGTCGATTTTCTTACCCATTTAGAATTTTTCTGCAATGGTAATGAAACCTTTCGCCATTTGCTACTTATCAAAATAACATTGTCAATATCCCCGGTCGTGGGTGGCTTCTTTTATCATCTAAACTTAAGTCTTGCCTCTCTTTTCCTTTCTTTCCTTTCTCTTTTTCCTTTCTTTTTTTTTTCTTTTTTCTTTTCGTGCCCTTAAATGGTGTTACAAGGCGATATTCGTAAAATTGTTTTGATGAGTCTAAGTCGTTCATGGTTAGAAGTTGAGGTCGTGATGCGTCGATCTTTCAGTCAGCTTTCTGCGCGGTGGGTCTTAGAGCTCACAGCTCAACTCTGTCTGCGTCTGTGTTAATCACTCTGCAACTGCTTGCCTGTCTTTCTAACCCCAACTGCCGTCCACTCGCTGCGACTCTGCTTATATGGACGCCGACCAAAACCGGGGTGGGTTTGTCGGGCTTTGAGGTTCCTTGATAATTCTAAATCCACAATAAGGATCTTCTTTGTTCTCGGATAGGAAAATTTATTACTTTCCATTTTTAGAAGTCCTTACTTTCTACTTAAATGGAGTCGTCCTCCCAAATTCTTCCTTTCTCATATTGGTATCTCACACCAATCCCCTCAGAGGGCGTCAACAGGTTCCCCTCTCTCACACAGTGGCATCTCACACCAATCCCTTCAGGGGCGTCAACAGTCCTCTCCTCCTTTTTTATAGTTTACCT